GAGCCGAAGGCAGGTGCTTAACCGACTGAGCCACCCAGGCGTCCCAGGAAATGTTCTTTCAATAAACCCCCATGCTGTAACACTGGGAAGGAGACATTCAGAATGGAGGGACAGGTTTCACTGAAATCTTGATTTTATTCTCGGATTGAGCTCAGGGATGACACGACCCCTCCCAAACCAGTGCAGGCATAGCTACTCCATCTGTCTCTGCTCCCTCCGCCTGTGCTGGATGTGGCTTCAAGGTTTTTCCATTTTTATTTCACTTAAAACTATGGGGAATATAAAAATTTACTTATGATCTCTTCAGATTATTTTAAACTATTAATGGTTTTAACAGATACTGGAAAAGAGAAGAAAAAACAAATTTAATTCCTCCACAAGATTGCATCTTAGGTAATTATTTTTCTCTTGACTTCTCTTTACTGTTTGCATAATAAATAGAAGACCAAGAATAGAAAGAAACTCATCTGATATACCCATTGTTTCTTTTTTCTTTTCTTCTTCATTCCTTTCCTGTCTTCCTCCTTTTTTTTCCTTCCCTCTCTCCTCCCCCACCTCCTTCTTTCCCTCCTTTTCTTTCCATAAGATGAAACTGAGAAGGGAGAACACTACCTCAATAGAGTGTTGTGGGGCATGTTGGTTGGAAAAAGCAAGGCCAAGATGTTTTGAGACTTTGAAGTCTGGTTTTGTGTTGGTCTTTCAACTCGAGGGCTAAGAACTACATGAGGTCATGATATGATAGTTTAGGATTGGTGGACATAGCAAGACAAAGGTTCAAAGTGTTTTAGTGTCTAAACTGTTGTTTCCTGCTTCCTATTGAGGAGTTGATGGGTCTTTCCAGATGTTGTTAGAATGAACAATAAAGTTGTTTATGAGAGTTTCTTAGGAGAGTAAGGTTATGTTGACGAAGGCAGCCCAGTAGTGATGTCCCATTAGTGTAGACACTGAGCTGTGGGAGCAGTACCCCTGGATGGTCCATCGTACCTGGGACCATCCCTGCACATCGCCATCTGTTTCGAGTGTCACCTGGGGGTGGCCCTTTCAGCATCTACACAGTTTTAAATAAAAACAGGATCAGCATCACTGATTTTTCCTTCAGCCTCAAATTCCAGTACAGCTGAACATAGCACTGTTACTGATCCTTCTTTATCTAAAATGACATTTTGTTTATTGTGGACTTTTTGGAATTAGTTTTGATTTTTTAAAAAGACTACATTAAGGGGGCGCCTGGGTGGCTCAGTTGGTTAAGCGACTGCCTTCGGCTCAGGTCATGATCCTGGAGTCCCGGGATCGAGTCCCGCATCGGGCTCCCTGCTCAGCAGGGGGTCTGCTTCTCTCTCTGACCCTCCTCTCTCTCATGCTCTCTGTCTCTCATTCTCTCTCTCTCAAATAAATAAATAAAATCTTTAAAAAAAAAAAAAAGACTACATTAAGGAGCACCTGGGTGGCTCAGTCAGTTAAGCGTCTGCCTTCAACTCAGGTCATGATCTCAGGGTCCTGGGATCCAGCCCTGCATCGGATTCTCCTCTCAGCAGTGAGTCTTCTTCTCCCTCTCCCTCTGTGATCTCTCTCGCTCTCACTCTCTCTCAAATAAATCTTTAAAAAAAAAGATTACATTAAAATATTATCTTGATTACAGGGTTAGGTTGTTTTGGGTGTTTTTTTCAGTCACACATCTGCCTTAATTGTGAGCAGCAGGTGGGACACTTCTACCAACAGTAAAAAAAAATTAATTTACAAAAGCAGGGATTCAGTGAAGCTTCCTGGTTGGAACCCTTGGGAGCTCATATGTAGATGTCAACCCAGAGCAGCGGGAAGAGGACTCCAAAGCCCATGAAGAGTGAGGACAGCAAGAAGATGAGAAGCTCTTTGTAGATATCCCAAGTGTACTTCATAAATGTGGAGGTAACTTCATAAATGAAGAACCAGGTGGTAGAGAGCATGCCAAGGGCCCAGCACCACCGTCAGATGGGGGAAGACAGCCGGATTCACGAGCTCCATTTTGCCAGGCACAGGGTAATCCACTGTTCTACAACCAGAACAACACACTGGCTGGATTACAGGGTTTTTTGACAGCCTCTTAAATGTCCCTAAGCTGAGTGCCATGCCTGCTTCACCCTACTCCCAGTCCTTTTTCAGAAACCTCTTAATCAAGGAGATCTATAGCCTCAATGGCTTGATCTAACTCACCTGCTAGTCCGTAGCACATGGGATCTCCCATTTTCTGGGCCTCCTGTAAAGCATGAAGTGAAGAGGCATGAGGAAAGACAAAAGCAATCTAGAATTCCCCTTAAGTGGTTAGGGTTTCTGTTTTAAGTCAAGGCCCAGTTTTTTTCCTACTTGAATTAAGTTACCTGATCTCTTTTTCCCTGGAGGAGAAACTGATGGGCCAGAATGGACACTGGGCAACATTAGGGGCAATCCTAAAAGAAAGCAACAAGTTTCTGGGGCGCCTGGGTGGCTCACTTGGTTGACTGTCTGACTCTTAGTTTTGGCTCAGGTCATGTTCTCAGGGTCATGAGGTAAAGCCCCATACTGGGCTCCATGCTCAGTGGGGAGTCTGTTTGAGATTCCCTCCCTCTTTCTCTCTCTCTCTTTAATAAATCTTAAAAAAAAAAGCAAGCAAGCAAGCAACAAGTTTCCAGCCAGCTTGTGGGTAGGAACAAGTAGGCTTTTGTGTCACAAATCCCATTATCAGTCATTGGGTACCACTCAGTGGTGTTTTTCACCAAAATACCCCTACGGGATAGCCAAATAGCACTGTAACATTTTGGAGTCACTTGCAAGACAAATTAGGTGTCAGCCAAGGATATTTGTAACATACAAAAGCAAAGAAAAATGTCTTCTAGGACTTGTGAAAATGAGACAGCCTCCGAATAGGCACCACCTGCTCCCTGGCCCTCCACCGTCAAGGTTCCAGCTCAGTGATAGGCCACATACAAAGATTTTAGCCCTCACCAAAGTCCCCAGTATTGGTAAGGTACATGACAGGGAGTTTCTGATTTTGGCTGCCTGGCTGTTGCTGTGTCTAAAAAGTCACCTAATAGTAAAATCCAGTTGCCCAGGAAACCAGCTGACTCACTACAAGAGATTGGAGCCAAGGGAAACTGGGTGAATCCCAAAGTAAACGTGCACAAGCCTAACAGTAACGTGGTTATATGCTTTAGCCACTTCAGGGCTCAGCCTCAGGCCACTCTGGACTATCCCAGACCCACAGTACAAGCAGACTTGGATCCTCTGTGGGAACCCCACACCCACCCATAGCAGTGTACTTCATGGACCCCTGAAGCTTGATGATCCTTGATGGGGGGTCATTAAGTCATTTTTGCAGGACCCTGAATAGGACCCAGAAGACCACAGGGTCCTGAACTGCCTCCCACATTCTTGTTCAGCCCAGGCCACAAGGTTCCCTGCAAGTCCCGTCCCTGTCCCTTTGGTGTCTGGGAACAGGAATGAAAAAGGATCCAGAGAGTCAATCTTGAGCCTTTCTGAGGTGGATGGGTCTCCTTAGATAAATGATTCATAACTTCTCATGACTCCTAGACCCTTTGAGAACTCAACAAATGTTATTGGCCGTCTCCTCAGAAAATGTACATTGTCATCCATGCACAATTCTGAATACATCATCTCCACACACAACACTGAATGTGATGTCAGGCACCCTTAGGCTCCATGGGCCTCCAATTAAGAGTGTTTCTCAAGGTAGACCTGCTTCTGAGGACCCCTGAGATCCCAAAAGAGGCAGAGCATAAGGAGGGGGCCGTCAGCATTCTCCGGGCTTCCCAGCTCAGACACAGCAGACGTGGGCCCAGCACCTTGTGAGAAGACATTAGTTATTTAGTTAACCAGGGATCTGCTAGCCAGGTCATCCATTGGAGAGAGAGTCAAGAGCTTGCAGGAGGAATTAATTCACTGCCAGAGTCAGCCAGAGAACCCAGTCCCAGGCAACCAAGACAACTGTCTTCTGAGGGTTGATCTCAGAAATTCTGAGCCTGTCCTTTTAGACAGCAGTCAAACTGAATGCCAAGCAGCTTTTTGGTCAGTCAGGGGTTAGACCAACAGCGCACAGGGCAGGCAAAGATGTCCTACCATTGTGTCAACAAAAAAGTGCCCTGGAAGGATGACAGGAAAATCAGCCTTGGCCAGGGCCTCCCAAGGGCATCTTGACAATATGAAAGCAAGAGTGCTTGCCTCCAGGAGCAGGCTGAAGAGGGACTGGGAAAGGGGTGGGTGGCTCTGGGCTCAGCGAGTCAGGGGTGGCCTCTAGATGCAATGTGTTGGGCTTCCTTTGCAGCCCCACTGGCCCTGAGGTCACTGTCCCCACCTCTCTGCCCTTAAGGCAAGTGCTCTGACAAGAACACAGGGAAAGCAGACAGAGCCTAAGAAAACTGAAAAGAGAATTCATGGAAACAATAAGAACCTGCACAGTTTCAGGTGCTGCAGCATCTGGGGTAGCCTGACAGCACAGGGCACCCCCCTCTGCGGGGCAAACGCTGATGATAAACTCCATCACCCACGGAGCAGTGTCTGAGCTCACAATCCCCTCCGTGATCAAACATTTGGTGGAGAAAGTGACTGTGGAGAAGTGATTCTGATGGGCCCATCGCTGGGGGGACTGAGACAGAGGAGAGTGAGGCTGAGGCAGCGCACCAAGGACGAGCTCAGGGGAGTCCTGGGAGCTGGAAGACAGGACCTCTCGGCCTTGGTGGTTGTCAGTTCTGACTGAGGCGAAGCACCAGGAGCTCTCCAGTGTGGCTCTCCTGAACTGCCCTTGCTGTGGAGGAGGAGGTGTGATCACTTCAGTGGCCCTCAGGAACCCCACCTCCCTCACAGCACAGTCCTGAGGGACAAATGGGATGATGAGTAAAGTGCTTTGTCAAGGGTCCAGCAGAAACATGGTCATGAACTCCAAATTCTTCACATCCCAGTTCCTTTTGACAGGATGATTGGTGCCCATCCCACAGGGCACAGCAGACTCTCTAGGGGAGCTTCTTTAAAATAACATAAAACAGGGGCGCCTGGGTGGCTCAGATGGTTAAGCGTCTGCCTTCAGCTCAGGTCATGATCCCAGGGTCCTGGGATCGAGTCCCACATCGGGCTCCCG